TACTTACATTAATGGCAGAAGTGTGTTCATGGTTTAAGGCACAAAATGTTTCAAAATGGAACATGTTAATGTTGTCTGATACTGTATGTTGATAAATACACATCTTTGTTAGCCGAGGTCTAAATTTATTCGGTCATGCCTCTAAACAGACCTTGGCAGAACGACCATCAAATATGCGTATTCTAATAGCGCCCCCCCCCCAGTAGTCAGTTGTGGCTAATCATTGTCTAATCAGTTTGCGTGTTACTAATCCCTCTTTGGCGTTTCATTTTAAACAAAATGGCGGCGCCCATAAATCGTGATATTTGTGATGATAAAATTGCGGAAGTTTACGGTGTTGGTGCCCTAAAGCCTCATCAGGTACAGGCAATCGACGCAGTTTTGTGTTGGAAGGATGTATTCATAGTGACAAAAACAGGAAGTGAAATTTTGTTTTATAATTTGGTACATCCAAGCTGATTGGGTGCCCATTTTCGAGGCACGCCCAGATCTCACAGCTTAAGATACGCAATTAGCCTATGCGATCCTGCACGGTATCGTGTAGAGGCCTATAGGTTGAAGACACGGGACAGTGCGATTCGGACAATGATAAATACATTTACCTAGATTTAAATGATCTTTTTTATATTTATTTTGTTTACTATAAACACTTAATACATTGTACAACCTTAATACAAGATATTCCTACAAATAACAAGCCATGCATGGCACTGTCCCCGTTAGTTATCAAATTTAAGATACATGTATATAGTTTTGTTTATAGTAATATAGCTGGAATATAAACATGTCAGGATTATGATTATGATGATTGTTTAACATTAAAATGATTGACATTTGTATCTGATCGTCAAACAAGTACTTGTCCATATTGGGAGATATTGTCTGGAACAGCATTAATTAAAACAAAATCAGCCATTTTGAATACATATATAATGAACATAGTCAGTCAAAGCATGTCAGAGATATGTCTCTAGAAGCCCATTCATTAAAACAAAATGGCCACTAATCAGCATTCTGAATCCGATCTAAAAAATAAAATAACGTGCATCATGAACCTGTAATGTCTAATGTATGTACAAAATCCATCCAGAAATGCTTGATATTTGATGATTTGTTTCATTTCAGTCATTTTTAATAGGATCGTCAAACCAATATATCTGTATATCTATCACATGATGCATAATGAATATTTAAAATTTGAACATAATCAGTCACAGCAAGTCAGAGATATGGCACTAGAACCACATTCATTAAAACAAACGAAGTTTGAACAAAATCCATCTGTAAACCGCTGAGAAATGCTTGATTTTGATAATTTTTAAAACAAAAATGGCCGCCATTCGACCATCTTCAATCAGATCAAGAAACAAATTGATGTGCATATGTATGATATGATGTATGTGTGAAGTGTGATTGGTCCAGGCATTTCTAAGATACAGGTCCACACACGCGCAGACACGAACATCAAAACATAAGTCCCCGTTTTCGGACTGCGACTAAAAATAGGCTTGTACATGTATGTATGCGACAAAAATACAAGATTGTACATGGTTATCAAAGTAGTATAGCCAAAACACCGACAGTGGACAATCTTTGATCTGATCATAAAACAAATTATCATGTATCTGTGCCATCTTAATGAAATCAAAAAATGAACATGTATTCATTTATGACACAAGATAAATATCCAAAATATCAATGAAAATGGTACATGGGCGAAAGAGATATATAGTAGTATGGTCAAAACAGTAGTCTACCATCTTTGATCCGATTATGAAATTAATTGTCATGTATTCTAACATGCATAATTGGAAGAAAAAAAAACATGTCAAACCAAATCTTAGAAAGAAATTAATTTAAGATGATCCTTTCAAACAAGGAGCTTGACAACTATTACTAAGATAAGAGTAGAACAGCTAATTAGCATGCAAATTAGGACATTAGTATGCATGATTTTATCCAAAACCGATTCAAATCTGTGCATTAGCCTAAAGCATCTATGCATCAAGTTTCAACAAAGACCAATGTATGGTTCTTTAGATATCAGTGAAACAGACGGACCCGCACATAGATTCACTAACTGGAAAAACTCCCATTGTGTGCTTTGCACACGGGAGTCGAAAAATAAGATGGCTTCCATTCGGCCATCTTGAATCCGATCATGGAACAAACTAACATGTATAATGTATGTATCAAAATTTTAAAGAAAATGACAAAGCATGTCCCTGATACATTTGCAAAAAACAAGATGGTTGCAGTCGGCCATCTTTGATCATAAGACAAACCATCAATTATTAATGGTCATAAACGTGCTACACTTGCATAAAAAGGGTGTGATAAGAGAGGGAATGACGCCAGAGGGGTACACGTCACCATATTACCTGGGCAACAATTTAATCAGGACTGTCGTGGAATACACTGCTACCTAAGGAGTGTTATAGAAAGTGTCAATTTTCGGTCAGAAAAGCAGTCTCCTCATGACGCTATGTACTAAATCCTGTGGCCTTCTCTGTTTAACACAAACAGAAGCATTCACGGAAATCATTAAGGGGAAATAACGAGAAGCCAACTATAGTAAATGACCTTGCGCAAATAATGGCAGGATACCTAGTTGCATGGCAGTAATAGTAAACCATATGGCTTTACTTATATGAAGGAGCAGATCAAGATACTATTTGGCAATAAGATAATTATAAATGAAACAAATAATGGTAGACCAAATGTATAATAATGTTGTGGAGCATGACAGCAGCTATACTACAGAATTTTAATCATCAAAGGGAGTGCCCCAACGAACAACAGAGCAGGATAATTAATACAGACTGCTGCAAAGTTGATACATAATGACATGAAATCATTAATCAAGCATCTGGCATGGTACTTCGAGCAGTAAGACCATTCCACGAGGAAGTGTTTACAACAGAAGACATTACAGCTGTTGATCATGTGGATATCAAATATTTTGTTCCAGAATTTGATATCCTACAGTTTCTATGCAAAATTACTAGAACATGCAGTTGAGGATCCCACTACCTATGATGATCTTCTGTGCTGTATATAATTGTCTCTCTGATCACCTCGACCAGCCTTGGCTTGTATGTACACAAGGGTGATCATCCAGAGCAATCCTTTTAGTTTTGCCAATGATAGATATGAATCCGAGTGACATAACAATAGTATAAAAACTATTTATTCAACACTTCAGAATGTTAGTTCACATGCCAGGCGTACAAGGTGACACACATTCTCACACTTGATCAGCCCTTTTGGTGGAAAGCCCTTAACAATACAGAAAGCGAGATCAGATCCATCATACTGGAAGATTTTATACAGTAATGAGTCTTTTTAGGTTCTATTAGATACCTTATGACAGGCACCAATCTGCAGGATATATGCAACACAGTAGGTCATATGCCGGAGGGAAAAGTAATTTTCAGAGCCATTCGTGAACACCTGTTTGTAAGTGGAGCCCTTAATTCCCTGTATTTGGCAAACAATCACCATGCACAGGAACAGTACTGTTGCCACTTGAGAATCTACATCTTCAAACACTGCAATCTTTGTTTTTGAAGTGAGTTTTTAAATTAGTATTATTAAAGCTCTATAATTCTGGTCTTACAGCTGAAACAAAT